CCACACACACACCCCCGCTACTGCACCCCTTGGCACGGCGCTCCTGCACCGGAGCAGCCTCCGGCTCACCCCCGGCCACCCAAAATCTAGGCATTGCTGGGTACAGGCAATACTGTTACAAGCATCCTCCGCCGAGCCCCGGGCTGCTCAGAAAGCCGAAGGCTGCTCCTCATGACAGCTCCCTCCCGCAGCCCGGGCAGGGTCTGGAGAGGGAGGACAGGCTCTGCGTTGGTGAATGAGATTCCCAGGAGCTCTGATGGGCTGCACTCATCTTAGAAAGTGGCTTTTGGCATCCTGGTTTGATTTTTTTTTTTTTTTAAATCTATCCTGAGAGATAAAAAAAAAAAAAAAAAAGAGGATCAAATGAAAATCATCTACGGTGCTCTGGCCAAATTTCAAACTGGGACTGGGTAGCTGTGACTCAGAAGCATGTTTATAACCATGCAGGAATGGAAGGGGTTTTTTTCCAGGAACAAATTCATTACCTGCTGGATTAGGAAGAGAAGTTTTCCCCATTTGCAAAGGGGAAGCCCTGCCAAGCCAAGCACCCCTGCAGCAGGGAGGCAGAATCCCCCAGGCTGGTGCAGCTCATCCATGGACACCCGGCATGCGGGTGGAGAAGGTCCAAGCAGCTCAGGGATGGCCTCTCCAGAGGAGGGTACCACACCAGTCTCTGCCCAATGTTCATCTGTGCAGATGTTAGCAGCTGTGGCATGGGCCACGTCAGCCCTGGTGGCATGTCTCCTGCCAAAAAAGCCCTGGGCCAGGCACGACAGCCTCAGCTACGCTGCAGAGACTCTGCACTGCCTTGCAGCAAGGCAGCTCTCACTCAAGCCAAGGCGTTTCCTCTGCTCTGTTCCATCTGCTCCCTTTTTTTTGGTAGCAGCCTTGCCCAACTCAGTGCTCCCGTGCCTGCTCACCCCAAGCTGCCTGCCTCACCGGGACATGCCTTCCTCGGCACTGAAAACAGAGAGGAGCATCATCTTCTTGCAAAACTGCCTGGACACCCCCCCAACACAGACCTGAAGGGCTGACTTCTCTGGGTCAGCACCATAATTTATTCACCGAGAAATTAGATGGCTGGAAGACTAGTGAAGGCCAGCAAATTTCACACCGAGCTATAAACTATGCATCCAGATTTAAGCAACTTCCACTACTCCACCAAACTTCTCCCGGTCATTCGGCTGAAGCAGCCACACCAGGTATCACGCAGCAGCGGTGGCAGAAAAACTCGAAAATGCTTTAAGCTGAAAATGTAATTTTCTGCACGCTGCCACAAAACGCACACGTATTCACAAACACTGCTGGTTTTAATTACCAAGACCCATGAGTCCAACATCCAGTCTTGGCATCTTTAAAATCAATGGGATAACAATCTTGTAAAGCT